TGGAGAAGTGCAGGAACAGTGGGGTGCTGCATTAGGCCGGCCATTAGGCCCCTGACTAGCTGAATGCGTCCTCCTCACATCTCCTGTTTTAACTGACTTGCACTGAGTTGCAAATTGCAAATGGGTGTTGATCCTGGAAGGGACTCTTGAAAGTCACCACTCTCATGACTTTCTAGCCCTTAGAGAGTGGGTGGGCTCCACACAGCACAGACTGGGAGAGTGCCATGACTGTGGGCACTTGATGTGCAAGGGCTGCCTGCCTTCCAGACATGCCTTTGTCCTTCGCACATTATGCCTCCAGGAGTGGCAGCAGTGGCCAATTTCCACATCAGTATTCAAGTCCAGGTGTATTTCTGGGCCCACAGGATGCAGCATGAGCACCGGACACCTAGGAGATGCATCCTGGCTTGGAAAGCAGGACTCGGCCGGTTAGTGGATGAGTCCAGGTCATTGCTCAGCTCAGTGAACAGAGTGTCCCTTCAGTCTAGCCCCAGGTCTAATTAGCTACGCAGGAATTGGTTGCATGAGGGCTGGGACATAGGAATAGGGGGATGGGGATGGGGATTTGAAGGAAGACCTCCCTACTGATTGCTTCTACAGTAGGACTGTGGACTTTTCCTCTGTAAAAGACAAGTACTTTTGACTGGGCATGGTGGCTCATGCCTGGAATCTCTGCACTTTGGAAGGCCAAGGTGGGTGGATCATTAAGCTCAGAAGTTGGAGACCATCCTGGGTAACATGGTGAGATTCTATGTCTACAAAAATTAGCCAGGTGTGGTGGCATGTGCCTGTAGTCGCAGCTACTTGGAAGGCTGACGCGGGAGGATTGCTTGTGCTTCGGAGGGGGAGGTTGCAGTGAGCCGAGATCACACCACTGCACTCCATCCTGGGCGATGGGGTGAAACTTCGTTTCCAAAAACAAAAAACAGATGAATACTTTTAAGAGTCCTGCTTTAGTAAGAAAGGAGTGGGTGCTGGGTATAGGGGGAGTCAGGGAAAGAAAAACCTCCATCAACTCTACACACCCTGAGGATGTTAAGGACTAGTGTTCAAATCCAACACACAGGAAAGGGTGAGGCTTTAAAACCAAACGGTGGAACAAATAGCAAATTAGGTATTTACTCACCATATAACAAAGGTGTTGCACAATTGTTTTGTTAAGTGGTGAATCAAAATTCAGCGTGGTGGTGCCTTGTGCTGTGGGCCCCTGGGCGCATGCCTCTGCCTCCAGCAGGTCTCTAATCCAGCAGCTGGGCTGGGTTTTTCTGGTCTTTGTTTCCAGAAGCACTGAGGGTACGTGTCCATTTGCCCATCACACTCTGTTACCCCTGGCTTGTCTCCTGTCTCATTAGACTGCGTTCTCGAGGACAGGGATTGACACTAGATCCTCAGTGCTCAACACCTGCCTGCCTCGATTGGGTCCACCCTGAAGATTTGAAAGAAGAGTGGGAAATCAGAGAGGCAAGCAGGTGTGTGCGTTTTCCTCTTTAGCTTTCTCCCGTGAGCACTACTCTCATTCTTACACCTGCATATTCCAGACCTCTTTCTGAAGGTTTTACTGCCACCTCAAAATTCATTTCGAAGCCCACCCCTCGCTCTTGCTTCTTGTCTTGTGTTTCCTGTTTCCTTGTATCTGAATATCCCTCTCCCTGTCATCCTCAGCCCATGTCGCCCACTGCTGGGCTCTCCCATGGCTTCCTTCCCTCTTCTGCAACCTCATTGCTTCTTGCCTGCCACTGATTTTCCTTCTTCCCTCTTCTGCAACCCTCATTGCTTCTGCCATGTCACTGATTTTTCTTCATTTGGTCTCTAGTCCTCCTAAACATTTATTGAAGTTGCTTAACCTAAAGAATATCCACGTGACTGACATGTTATTGATCCTGTGTTGGAGGAGGTGGGGCCAGACTCTGACCTATACCAGTCTCTTCTGGCATCAGTTTCTCCCATCCTGTTGGATTCTTCACTTTGAACTCATTACTCTTATACAGGCAATGTGGAGAAGTTTGAAACTGATTCCTCGGTTGGCATTCGGGGACTTCTGTGATCTTGCTCATTCATCCATCTTTTCCAGTCATGTCCCGTGACTCCCTTTCATACATGCTGTACGTTCCAGCTAGACTGGTACATACCCCGTCATTCCCTACCTCTTCCTTTGTCATCATATGGCTTCCCGTGGGAATGCCTTCTCCTCCCTTCACTTCTCCCATGCCCTTGTCCAAGTGTCCTTGTGATTCAGCTCAAATGCCATCTCCTCCAGGAAGCCTTCCCTGCTCTTATCTGGTAAGCATTTGAGTACCTATAGTGCCTATAGTCCACCACTGGAGGAGACACCTTGTTTTTGTTTTGTTTTGTTTTGTTTTGTTTTGTTTTGTTTTTTGAGATGGAGTCTTGCTCTGTTGCCCAGGCTGGAGTGCAATGGTGTGATCTCGGCTCACTGCAACCTTCACTTCCTGGGTTCAAGTGATTCTTGTACCTCAGCCTTCCTAGTAGCTGGGATGACAGGTGCATGACACCATGCTCAGCTAACTTTGTGTATTTTTAGTAGAGACAGGGTTTTACCATGTTGGCCAGGATGGTCTCAAACTCCTGACCTCAGGTAATCCACCCACCTTGGCCTCCCGAAGCACTGGGATTATAGGCATGAGCCACCATGCCCAGCCCCCTTAGTTTAATTGCTTAGGCTATATATATCATTTTGCCTCTCTGCATCCTGTGTCCTCTCCTTGAGGTAAGTTGGGTCTATGTCAAATTCCTCATAGCCATCTTTCTGCCTAGTGCAGTGTGCAGCCCACGGTGGGCTCTGAGGAGGTCTTGGCTGCATAATAGCACCCGTTTCCTGCCTTGCCCTCCTGTGCTAAGCCCTTTCCATGCTTTGTTTCACTTAATCCTCACAGCAGCCCTTTGACCCAGATGCTATTAATTGTATCCTCCTGAGGAGGAAACTGAGGCTCAGAGAGATTAAGCCACTTGCCCAAGGTCACAGAGCTGGTAGGTGGTAGAGCTGGGTTCTATGCCCAGACCTTTTGTCTTTAATCCCTGCTGTATGACCCGAATGAGTAGGATGAATAGGACTGTCAAAATAGGATGTGTAAAGCCAGTGGAGGATATAAACTTCAGAGGATGCCATGAGTTCAGAAAGAACGTTTCTCGTTTTTTAAATCACTGTGTTCAGTGGGTTTCAGCCTTGCCCTTTACCAAGAATAGCCCACAGCTTACAGCATCATTAAAAGGGGTGGGGAGGGAAAGGCCGCAGGAGAGTAACTGGTCTTCTCGACCCCCTCACAGCAGTGACTTCCCAGGAACTGGCATTTCAAGGTCTCACATCCTAGTAGACCACGCCCTGGAGTGTTGGAGAAAGACAGCCAAATTGCCTTTTTGTCTCTTCATTCCTTCTTTAGTTCCCCAAATCCTTAAGGAGTAATGACTGTCATGTACTGTCCTGAGTCCTCTGGGACCACAGAAATGAATCAATCCCATTCAAGAGCCTTTGCTGCAGTAGAAGGAGTGAAACCCATAAATGAATAATCCTAACTTTCAGAAAAAGAGTTAATGTGATTCTGAGAGACAGGCTTTTACTGTTGAAATGGGGAGGAAGGAGAAACCCATATAGCTCCAGACTACAGAAGAGCTCCCAAGCCTTGGTTTCCTTAGTTAACACCCCCGGCTTCTGACTCAGTTTGTCAGGACCTGTTTCTAAGCCTGGATGTTTGGACACCCCCACTGCCTTGCCAGGAGTTTGCTGAGGACCTTGGTTTTAAGCCTGCAAAGGGTGTGATTAGAGGCATTGTGGCTGGAGCAGCCTGTCTTTAAAAGAGCGAGGAAAGCTGAGCAGTGTCTCCCTGTGTTGAACTGTCTGGACAGCTCCAGCTCGGGACTGGTAAAGTGAATAAATGAGCAGATACTAAGGGATCCTTTGTACCTTGTACTTTATGTAACATAGTCATTTAATTCTCGATACAACCCTATTTTGCAACTAAGGAAACAGACATTTGAAACAGCTGTAATTTGCCCAAGAATGCATGGCTAAAAGGTGGCTCTTAATTGTAGTCTGATGCTAGGTGTGGAAAATCACTTGGGAGGCATGAATGGAGCCACGTTGTTGGGGAGAAGAAAGGCCTGCTCTGAGCTTAAGGGCAGAATCCTTAGGAAATATTTCCCTGTTCTTTGCTATGAGCTTGCACTGTGGACAATACCAAAGAACTGCAGAGAGAGCCTTTTACTGAGGAGAGGCCGGTGCGGTGGAAGCCATTTGGTTAGAACCTGCCCAACAGACAGCTGATCAGGCCTGGCTGGTGGAAAGAACAGAATGTTAACAAATGTGGTATGCAGTAGGAGGGAAGCAGAAGATGGGAGAATCCATGGGCCTGCTTTGGTTGCTTTCAAGTCATGAGTTGGTGGTGAATGGGGCAGGCCTTAAAAAAGTCAGAGATTAAGATTCAAAACCAGACAATAATTTAAAAAGTAGATTTCGAGAATGCTACCCCCCAGAAGGGCCCTCAGAGAGAATCTAAGGTTTTATTTACTTGTTTAACGGACAGCAAACTGTATCCTGGTGGGGAAATCTACAAGCCAAAGATAACAGTGTGTTACCCACAGAACCAGATAGCTTGCTGATCTGAATTAAGCCTGTAAGACAGGGGTTTAGTGGAGGAATAGAAGGTGAATGGAGCAGGTTCATAAGAGAGCAAGGCAGTGGATTGATGTGTATTTTTGAGAAACCTGCCAGCATGGACAGTTTAGTTGGGAGTGTTAGCTCCTAGTGACAGCATGGAGTGTTAGCTAGGCCAAGTCAAGATTTGTAGGATACGGGGCCCAGGTGTCTTTGGAGGTGCAAAAGAGTCTATGGCGAGGGGAGCACCAATACTGCAGAAGCAGGAGGGAAGGATAACTGTTGGATAGGGATCATTTCCCAGTTCTGAGTGGAGTCCAGAGTCCAGACAGCATGCTATAAGGTGGTGTCCTATAAGCTGACCATGTGCTCTTCCCCGTTTCACCTGTAGGTGATTGCAGTGGTAATGGACGTGTTCACAGACATCGACATCTTCAGAGACCTTCAAGAAATATGCAGGAAACAGGGAGTCGCTGTGTATATCCTTCTGGACCAGGCTCTCCTCTCTCAGTTTTTGGATATGTGCATGGATCTGAAAGTTCATCCTGAACAGGAAAAGGTTTGTGGTACACTATATCCAGTTTCACCACAGTCAACGAATGTGACTAAGCATCCATGATCTACAAGGTGGTTGGTGGCAGTATCCCTGTTTACAAGGAAGGGACTGAGGATGTGAGCAAAGTCATTTGCCTGGTCTTACAGAAAATGGACAGTACCTGTGACCTGGCAATTCTCCTAGGAGATGAAAATGTAGGCCCCCACAAAAATTTGTGTATGAGTTTTATAGAAGCATTATTCATAAAGTCAAAGAGTGGAAACAATCCAATGCCCATCAACTGATAAATGGTTAAATGATATGTTGTCTATTTATACAATAGCGTACTATTCAACCATAAAAAGGAATGAAGTGCTGATACATGCTACAGCATGGATGAACCTGCAAACATGCTAAGTGAAGGAAGCCAGTCGCAAAAGACCACATATGATATTATTCCATTAAGTCAGAATAGGGAAAGCTATAGAGACATCGATTAGTGGTTGCCTAGGGCTGGGGAGTTGGAGGGAAGGACGGGGTTATTGCTAACTGATGAGAATGTCCTGAAATTGACTAACGGTGATGGTGGTTGCATATATCTGTGGATATACTAAAAACTACAGAATTTGTGTTAATTGTATGATCTGTGAATTAGATCTCAAGCTGTTGAAAGAAATGTTAGGATTCAAGACCTTGGCCTCTCCCCTGTACTGTCCTGCCTCTTAATAGAGCCTGGACCCAGCTCCCTTGTTGAAGGCCCGAAGGCCACCCTGGAAGCTGCTGCTTTTGACAGTAGTTCCAGGAGGCTGCCCTTTTAATCATGGCAACCAGTATTTGTTGAGCTCCCACTCTGCATTTGGCACTGCTCCATGCTTTTTTTTTTTTTTTTTTTCTGAGACAGAGTCTTACTCTGTTGCCAAGGCTGGAGTGCAGCAGCACAATCTAGGCTCACTGCAACATCCCTCTCCCAGGTTCAAGCGATTATCCTGCCTCAGTCTCCCAAGTGGCTGGGATTACAGGTGTGCAACACCACACCTGGCTAATTTTTGTATTTTTAGTAGAGATAGGGTTTTGCCATGTTGTCCAAGCTGGTCTTGAACTCCTACCTCAGGTGATCTGCCTGCCTCGGCCTCCCAAAGTGCTGGGATCACAGGTATTAGGCCCCGCGCGCAGCCTGCTCTGTGCTTTTAACAGATGTTATGTAACTGAATCCTGGCAGCAGCCCTATCAGGTAAGTGGCATCTGTGTTTCAGATCAGGAAATAGTGACATAGAGAACCCAAGTGTCCACAACTGGGGTCTGCCTCCTATGTCTGCCTCCAACCCCAGTGTCTGTAATCAGTATCACATGCTGCTGCTGTTCATTTCACATTATTGTAAAATTAGATTTTATGTCTATTTCTCTGATTCTGAAAATAATCTAAGTGTTTCAGTGGAAGCCTATACAGCATAGCTAGCTTGGTCACTTTCATGGAAAGAAGCAAGAAAAATTGTCATATTTATTACAGATTTTTTTTTTGTTCTGTTTTGTTTTTTTGAGATGGAATTTCACACTTGTTGCCCAGGCTGGAGTGCAATGGCACGATCTCAGCTCACTGCACTCTCTGCCTCCCAGGTTCAAGCAATTCTTCTGCCTCAGCCTCCTGAGTAGCTGGGATTACAGGTGCTCGCCACCACACCCAGCTAATTTTTTGTATTTTTAATAGAGACGGGGTTTCACCATTGTGGTCAGGCTGGTCTCGAACTCCTGACCTCAAGTGATCCACCCGCCTCGGACTCCCAAATTGCTGGGATTACAGGTGTGACCCACCACGCCCGGCCCAGAATTTGTTTTTTAAAAATTAAGCAACCCATCGCTTCTCAGCCTTTTGGCTAAGATTAAGTGTAAAAATTAAGCAACTTAACCTGTGAGCTTCAGAACTTTATTTGTTCATCACCTATCTGAGCATCTATTATGCACCGGGTACTAGATATAAAGCAGTCAGCAAAATGAATTTAGTCTTTGGTACTATAAGTTATTGCCTAAGAGACTCTAACTTACCACCTTGTTATTACCAAGCAATTTGATTTACAGAATTCAGATTCTCCCACAGAGTTCTTGTTGATTGCCTCATGATAAAGACACGATTGGGGTTTAGAGACCAATTGAGATGAGACAGCCATGTAACCCAACAGGTGGTTAGAAAATGAGGCCAGGTGGACCCAAGGAAGATACACTTTGGCATGGAAAAGAGCATTATCAGCTAGTCAGGTGAAGAAATTGAAGGTGTCAGTGTTTAATTTCAAGGCGCTCTTTCTATAATTAAAGCTGTGCGTTAGCAGAGAAATCACAGAATTGTTCTGGCCACAACTTTGATCAAGTGATTTTCTCTGATTTATCTACTAGACAGAAATCTATGAGCAGGTACCGGTTCAGGTGCCTACTGTTGGTTGCTGCCTTCATAGGTGTCCAGATCCTCTGTAGGGGGATTTAAGAAGGCCTATTTCTCTGGCTTCCCCAGTTTTTGTAGTCTTACTCCTTCCTGGGGAAGCACTGTCTTCTGGTTGCTTGTGTCTCCTGTGCCCGTCTGTGCTACTGAATTTCTGCCCTTGCCGTATGGGGGCTGATTTCCCCATGCTTTGCCTCTGTAGCTGGTTCAGAATGTTGGGTTGTGCTGTCTGTAGGAACTTGGTCACACATTGATGTGCAGGCACTCATGAGTGCTTTGGCCACGATCACAGAGGCATGTACAACATGCAGATGTGTGTCAAAGGGAAAGATACACAAAACCACACTAATCTGCCCATAATGGTATTTTTTATGCTTATTATATGTTGATCCTTTACAACTTGGCTCAGGGGTCATCACCTCCTCCAGGAAGCTCTCCTCCCACCAAGTCCAGGTGTATCTCTATGACATTCCCTAGTCGTCTTTTTTTTTTTTTTTTTTAATTTTTATTTTGAAATAATTTAAGATTTATAAAGAAGTTACAAAAATAATATAAGAAATTCCTGAATACTCTTAGCCCAAGTTCCCCACATGTTAACATCTTACAAACCTCAGTACAAATAACAAAATCAGGAAATAAACTTGATATCAATACTATCTAATTTACAGAGTTATACATTTCCTGGGCATTCCACTAATGCCCTTTTTCTGGTCCAGGATCCAATCCAGTCTAGGATCACACCTTACATTTAGTTGTCAAGTCTCCTGCATATCATTTAATCTGGAACTGTTTCTCCATCTTTCTTTGTCTTTTAGGGTCTTGACCCGCCCCCCTCTCCCCCGCTCCGCTGCCCCCACTCCATTTTTTTTTTTTTTTTTTTTTTAAGAAATGAGGTCTCACTATACTGCCTAGGCTGGTCCTGAACTCCTGGACTCAACTGATCCTCTTGTATCAGCTAGCCTCCCAAGTAGCTGGAACGACAGACATTTGCCACCGTGCCCGGCTGGGTCTTGACACCTTTAAAGAACACTAGCCAGCAGGGCATGGTGGCTCACGCCTGTAATCCAAGCACTTTGGGAGGCCGAGGTGGGCAGATCACCTGAGGTAGGAGTTCGAGACCAGCTTGGCCAACATGGCGAAACCCCGTCTCTACTAAAAATACAAAAAAATTAACTGGGCGTGGTGGCAGGTGCCTGTAGTCCCAGCTACTTGGGATGCTGAGGCAGGAGAATCACTTGAACCTGGGAGATGGAGCTTGCAGTGAGACGAGATCATGCCACTGCACTCCAGCCTGGGCAACAGAGCCAGACTCCACCTCGGAAAAAAAAAAAACTAGCCAATTTTTTGTAGAATTTGGGTTTGTCTGATGTTTTCTCAAAGTTAAATTCAGATTACGCATTTGATAAGAAGACCACAGAAGTGGTATTATGTCTTGCCATAGTTTTGTTTTGTGTTTTATTTTTAGCTTATTTTGAATATCGATAGATTAACAGAAGTTGCAAAGATTGCACAGAAAAGTTTCATGTACCCTTCACCCAGTTTCTCCAAATGTTACATCTTATGTAACTTATGGTACAATGTCAAAACCTGGAAATTGACATTGGTACAATGTGTGTATACAGCTTTGTGCCATGTTATCATCATGCATGCACATCCAGACAGCAGTTTCCATCACCACAAAGATCTCCCTCCTCCTTCTCCTTTATATAGTCACATCACTCCCATCTCTTTAACCCCTAGCAACCACTAATTTGTTCTCTATTTCTATAATTTTGTCATTTACAGTCTATTATATAAATGGAATTATACAGTATGTAACTTTCAAGATTGGCTTTTTTCCCCTCATCACAGTGTTTTTGAAATCCATCCAAGTTGTGCATGTATCAACAGTTTGTTCCTTTTTATTGCTGAGTATTTATGGTATCTTATACCATTCAGCCACTGAAGGACATTTGGATAGTTTCCAGTTTTTGTCTATTATGAATAAAGTTGCTGTGAACATGTGTAGAGGTTTTGTGTGGATATAGATTTTCATTTCTCTGGATGCTGTTATGTGTTATTGTAGTTTCTAAATCATTCAATTAGTTTCTCTCTCTTATTCTAGTCCTTGAAGGTAAGGAGCATGCCTTACATCTCTGTTGTCTCAGGGCTTGGCACATAGTAGGGGCTCTCTATGTTTATGGAATCAATGAGTCAAACAATTAATTTAAATGTGTAAGATTTCTAATGATATAGAACCACTGGTCTGCTCCAGAGAATGCAAATTGTTGTAGTATTTTGTATGCCATTGTTTATACATTTATGTGTGTCATTTTACAGGAATAATTATGCATACATGTGCAATATATTGCCCCAGCATACCACCACCAGTGTACCTTTTTGGTAATTATGTATTTGTAGGAGATGTGACATTGCTCGTTAAGCCACATGTGATATGAGTGTTTCTGCCTCAGCAGGCCTGTACTAGAGAACGCCTATCCTATGTTCCTCTTCTCCATACCCATTATGGTGTTGAGGGTGAGTGAGGATGGACTGGTACTCTGATGTGATGCCATTAAACAAACAAGTTGGAGGAAAATCAGCTTAGCTTCTTTCAGATTTTGTTAAAATATTCTTTATTACTGGTGTGTTTTCTTTGATGATTTTATCCCACACATTTTGCTTCAGAATCATTTTTCGAATTCTGTTGTTTAGTATCCCAAAAAGGTTCGAAAAGAAGGCATACACACATGAACTAAGGGTCTCAAAAGTAAATATAAGAAAAGAACAGATGAGAAGAAGGACCAAATGTAGACGTAACATCACTTGAGGCTTGAGAACTGTTTGGCTAGTGTACCGTGTGTACTGTCACTAAGTGGTATCCCTAAGCCACGCATCTGCCAATAATTATATCTGGGAATTGTAAACTCAGCCTTTTTGTCTTAATCATTTGCTCAACGGATGAGTATTGCTGAATTGTTTGTTTATATTTCTCCCACTCCCCACCAACAGCTGATGACAGTTCGGACTATCACAGGAAATATCTACTATGCAAGGTCAGGAACTAAAATTATTGGGAAGGTTCACGAAAAGTTCACGTTGATTGATGGCATCCGCGTGGCAACAGGCTCCTACAGGTAAGTGTCTAACCCGTCCAAGGCTTATTAATCTAAACTCTTAAGCAGCATGTCACGTAAAGGTAAAAGCCTTTTCCTGTCAATGGGAGCCTGTATGGCCACGCATTCTGATATGCACACATCTGTGTATACGAGCTGGTTATCAAAGCCTCCTGTTAGAGGCAGTTTGGGTGGGGGTCACCTCCCCTGTCCTGTAGTCCATAGATTAAAATGCAGAAGTTGAACTTGTATTGAGACAACACAGTCAGCAAGTCCTAGATTTCAAGCCTTGACCCAGGTCTGCAGGGGACAAATTGGGGGTTAACAGCAACACACAATCTGGAATCCTGGTTCCTTAGGGATCTGGACCTAGCTTGCCCTGGTCACTCGAAGGTAGGGGCAGTTGCAGGCATCTCCATTAGTGTTGAAAGCAGAGCCAGAGCTGTCAGCTTTAGACTCAAATCCTATATGTTGCTTCAAGCCTTGTAATTTAGCACTTTAGAAAATACTGATTATGTTTCTGACCCACCTTTGAAGTCTCACATTGGCAATGGCATCTGAAGGTAGAGAGCAGGGAGGTTGAAGAGAGGGTGGGGATAATGAGTGGTTTACATCAATCTCTAGAATTTGTGCCATTTTTACGTATGTGGCTCCAGTTTTGCTGCCTCTGCAGTAGATTGTCTAATGGTTTGCATGAGGTGTGTCTGTAGAATTTTAAAAAGAAAACCCCATTTTTGAAGAAACATACAACCCTGAGTGATAATTACATGTCAGCCCTGGGTAAAGGTGGAAATGTGAAGACTTGTGGAAGATGAAGCAGTAAGATCAAGAAAATTTTGACACCTTTTTAAACAATACTCTCATTGCTCAGAATAAAATTTGAACTTTCTTCACCAAAGAGGCTGTTGGAAAATACAAATATGAACTCTTTTTCTTGGAATTTCCTTTTGTAAGAAGTTTATTTAAAAGAAAAATTTTTTTTTCAACCCAAATAAAACCCAAGTAGGATTTATCTATATTAACTAAACTTAACTACAAATGGTTTTTGGCTGTTCTAAAATATAAAAACTACACTCTTCAAATGAAATTGATGACGATGATAGCTTCCATTTGTTGAGGACGTTTTATAATCTTGGTGTTGGATAGGTGTTTTATTTACATTATCTCATCGAAGGCTTTCTTTTTTTTTTTTTTTGAGATGGAGTCTTGCTCTGTTGCTCAGGCTAGAGTGCAGTGGCGCCATCTTAGCTCACTGCAACCTCTGCCTCTCAGGAGTGATTCCTGTGCCTCAGCCTCCCGAGTAGTTGGGACTACAGGCATGCCACCATGACTGGCTACTTTTTGTATTTTTAGTAGAGATAGTGTTTCACCGTGTTGGCCAGGATGGTCTCAGACTCCCGACCTCAGGTGATCCGCTGGCCTTGGCCTTCCACAGTGCTGGGCTTACAGGTGTGAGCCACTGTGCCCAGCCTCATTGAAGGCTTTCAAAAGAATCTTCCTTCTCAGGCTTTGAAGGCAGTTTTCAGGGGGACTTTGCATTAGCCAGATTTTTGGTTGCAGGAGACAGAGTTGACTGTGTTTTATGATCTCTATTTGAAACCTATTCCGGTACAAATACCACCATTAGTGGGGTGATGGCGAGTGTCAGCTAACTCTCAAACGTACTGACTTGAAGAACTTGGAAGGAAGCATAGGAAGTTACAGTTGGTTTTCAGTTCACCTTGACCTAGGACCCAGACACTGATCAGAACACTGTCTCCTGATTCTGATGTTTTCGAGTTGATTTTTGTTCTTAGGTAGGCTCTCCCTTTAAAGTCAACAATCCTGGCTTTCTTTTTTTTTTTTTTTTTTCTGAGACAGAGTCTTGCTTTGTTGCCCAGGCTGGAGTGCAGTTGTGCGATCTTGGTGCTCTGCCGGCTCCGCCTCCTGGGTTCACGCCATTCTCCTGCCTCAGCCTCCTGAGTAGCTAGGACTACAGGTGCCCGCCACCACACCCAGCTAATTTTTTTTTTGTATTTTTAGTAGAGACGGGGTTTCACTGTGTTAGCCAGGATGGTCTCGATCTCCTGACCTCATGATCCACCTGCCTCGGCCTCCCAAAGTGCTAGGATTACAGGCGTGAGCCACCGCACCCGGCCAGATCCTGGCTTTCTTACATGGTCTTTAGTAGTTGTCTCCCAAAGGGTGAAACTCTTTCACTCAGAATTGCTATCAATCCCTTCTGTCAGAATCCATTTGACAAAGAAAAAAGAAATCTCTAAAAAATTACTTGGCTCGTGTGGGATTACGTGCCCAACCTGAATGAATCCCTGCATCCGAGGGAACAGGATACTCTGGCCAGTCTGGACCATATGCCTGCCCCTATTGTGGTTGGAGAGAGTATGATAATGAAAGCTTTCTGGGGTACAGGTGGGTGTGAGTTCTGCTAGCAGACAAGGGAGGCGGGGAAGGGACACTGGACAGGCAAGGGCACATGGCCACTAATCAGCTCTAACATGTTTTGAGCCATGGTGTTTTGTGAAAATGGCAGCATAGCCCCATGACTGTGGGTCCTCCACTGTTAGGAAGACTGCTTCAACAGCCACAAGGACAAGCTTGAGGGCAGGAAGGCATGTTACCACTCAAACAGTAGCAAGGAGCAGGGCATTAGCAATTCATAGGGCCTGGGGCCTGATATGGGGTCCATTAGTAGCTCCCCACTGTGATAATCCCTTTATCTGGTTTCCGTACCTTTAAAATGGGGGTGCTGGCCTAGTTTTCTTACCTTTAAAATGGGGATGCTGGCCTAAATACTTACAAGCCCTACTTTTTATTTTTAATTAATTAATTAATTTATTTATTTTTTGAGACGGAGTCTCACTCTGTCATAGAGTGTGCAGTGTCATGACCTCGGCTCACCGCAACCTCTGCCTTCCGGGTTCAAGCAATTCTCCTACCTCAGCCTCCTGAGTAACTAGGATTACAGGCATGCACCACCATGCCTGGCTAATTTTTTGTGTGTTTTTACTGGAGACGGGGTTTCCCCATGTTGACCAGGTTGGTCTTGAACTTCTGACCTCAAGGGATCTGCCCACTTTGGCCTCTCAAAGTGCTGGGATTACAATCGTGAGCCACCACGCCTGGCCCCCTTTCTAGTTTTTAAAAACTCTGAGGCAAGGACCAGGTGAGGTGGCTCATGCCTGTAATCCTAGCACTTTGGAAGGCTGAAGTGGGAGGACTGCTTGAGCCCAGGAGTTCAAGACCAGTCTGAGCAATATAGCAAGACCCCATCTCAAAAAAAAAAAAAAAAAAAACCGAGGCTGAGCATTTAGTGTGTTTGTTAAACAGCTGGCCTTTTTACTTTTATGGTAACACACATATGTGTTATATATATGTTAAGGCTAGTTAAATGCATGCAAATGTTAGGTATTGTATCACCAAAGTTGTGACCCTCATGTGGTAAGATACCTGTGCTATATTATTCAGATGGACAGTGAGTAAACCAAAATTGCTCATCCTTACCAGCTGCTGTTTGTTTCTTTTTAATCCTTAAGTTTTACATGGACAGATGGCAAATTAAACAGCAGTAACTTGGTAATTCTGTCTGGCCAAGTGGTTGAACACTTTGATCTGGAGTTCCGAATCCTGTATGCCCAGTCCAAGCCCATCAGCCCCAAACTCCTGTCTCACTTCCAGAGCAGCAACAAGTTTGATCACCTCACCGACCGAAAACCACAGTCTAAGGAGCTCACCCTAGGCAACCTGCTGCGGATGCGGCTGGCTAGGCTCTCAAGTACTCCCAGGAAGGCGGACCTGGACCCAGAGATGGCCGCAGAGGGCAAGGCAGAGCGCAAGCCCCATGACTGTGAGTCCTCCACTGTTAGTGAGGAAGACTACTTCAACAGCCACAGGGACGAGCTCCAGAGCAGAAAGGCCATTGACGCTGCCACTCAAACAGAGCCAGGAGAGGAGATGCCAAGGCTGAGTGTGAGTGAGGTGGGAACACAAACCAGCATCACCACAGCGTGTGCTGGGACCCAGACTGCAGTCACCACCAGGATAGCAAGCTCTCAAACCATGGTTTGGTCCAGGTCGACCACCACTCAGACTGACATGGATGAGAACATTCTCTTTCCTCAAGGAACTCAATCTACGGAAGGGTCACCAGTCTCAAAAATGTCTGTATCAAGATCTTCCAGTTTGAAGTCTTCCTCCTCTGTGTCTTCCCAAGGCTCTGTGGCAAGCTCCACTGGCTCTCCCGCTTCCATCAGAGCCACTGACTTCCACAATCCTGGCTATCCCAAGTACCTGGGCACCCCCCACATGGAACTGTACTTGAGTGACTCACTTAGAAACTTGAACAAAGAGCGGCAATTCCACTTCGCTGGTATCAGGTCCCGGCTCAACCACATGCTGGCTATGCTGTCAAGGAGAACACTCTTTACTGAAAACCACTTTGGCCTTCATTCTGGCAATTTCAGCAGAGTTAATTTGCTTGCTGTTAGAGATGCAGCACTTTATCCTTCCTATCAGTAACTACTCCGTGTTCAGACTCCTGGTTTCTTCCAGGCTTACAGTGGACATCATCAGCTTCCTGCTTTAAAAAATATCTTATGTCCCTAATTGCCTTTCTTTTACCTGACTTTGTCACCTTTGTTGTCTTTGAATTCTATAGGTTGCATATTCTTTTACGTGCTTTGTTTTGTTTTTGTCATGTATGTACCAGGTATTGGTTTTATGGTTTAAACACTATGGATACAGGTTTATTTTTTTTTTTTTCTTGTTTTTTTTTTTTTTTTTTTTTGCACAATTTTAATAGTCATGCACTACATAATGATGTTTCGGTCAACGACAGACCACGTATATGATGGCAGTCCCGTAAGATTATAATACCGTATTTTTACTATACCTTTTCTACGTTTAGATACAAATACCATTATGTTACAGTTGCCTACAGGATTCAGTGCAGTAACATGATGTACACGTTTGTAGCCCAGGAGCAACTGGCTATACCATATAGTCTAGGTGTGTAGTAGTTATACCATCTAGGGTTCCGTAAGTACACTCTGTGCTGTTTGCACAAGGACGAAGTCACCTAACAACACATTTCACAGAATGTATCCCTATCATTGGGCAACACGTGACTGTATTAATCTCTTAAGGAGAATGCTTAGGTGTTCTAAGTCTAACTCAGGTGAGAGATGAAATATGTTTTGCATTTTTCTCAGGTTATATGCTTTTCCGCTTTAAAGGTTTGAATTACCAGCATTTTTGTGATCAAAATCCTATTTAGAAAAAATAAAACTACTTTTTATCTCTTTAGAGTATCTGTGTTCTTAGCATTAAATAAATATAAACTTGTGTTTCTGTACTTTTTTCCCCCTTCTCTGACACTTTTCTCTTTAAATCTGGGAATATGTCACAAATAAATGCATCTAATAGATAAAGGTATATAGGTATCTATATCTGAAGGTTTTTAACATAGTGTCAGGGTGAGGAAGAAGTAGATGATCCAAACTATAGAAGGGAAAATAGATCCACTTAACCTTCGTTAGCATCATGAATGTTGATGTTACCGTATAGTTTGAGTGAGGAAACTGGCCAGAAATAGCAGGCCTTTGCACATGCTCTGCCTTTTCTCTTTTTGAAGAAGAAGCCTGAGCTATTTCGCTAGGTCCTTGGTACGTTGGTACTCTGCTTGTCTACCAAAGGAGGCCTTAGTGTATGTTCCTATATTCATTCCCAATATTAACTCTGGTGGCCCCATGGGCCTCATTTCATCAGCTGGGTGTATTGACAGTGATTTACAATCTAATATCCTAGAGTAGGGGCAAAAGAGGACACTGACAATTATCCAGGTTTCCTGGTCCAGTGGCAGGCAATGTAACTGGTTTCTACACCCTGCTAATCAGGATTGGTATGGCTGTGGAATCCTGTTTTTGTTTCATTCTCATGGACAGACAAAAGGGAAGGGAGTTAAATGATGGCTTCCTCCCTCTCCTGACTTAGCTACAGCAAACAAGATCTACAGCAGGGGAAGGCATCTGCCACATAAACTGCTGATGCACTTGGATCATGAGTGCCCCTACACTCACGCCTATGCCAGGACTCCCTTATGGTGGTCAGGTTATTTACTGGGTTAGTGCTGTAATCTGTGGCTGTAAAGCAAATGTAAGGAAATTGATCCATGTCTGCTTAGAAACAACTCTGAGCTAAGCCTCCAGTAAACATATTGTTACTTGAAATCATCTTGCAGACTTAGGTCACTTCATATGTGTCATCTTTGATCTTTGCAGCAATGTAGCAGAGAGCTATGCAGGTTAGATAGCTGTTATTTCCAATTTTCAGATGAAACTGAGGCTCTGATTAAGTAGCATATTCAAGATGGCATGGCTTGTAAATGGTGACACAAGAATTTAAACACAGGTTTCTAGATTCTAAGTGCAGTACTCTGTTATACGACTATTTCTTTTTTTTTTTTTTTCACCAAACTACGATTTATTTAGCTTTGTTCCCTCCCATCCAAGACTGCTGATCGCTAAACAAGCATCAAAACCCGAAGCTCATTAACATCAGAGTGAGCTTCAATAAGGTGAACACTACAATGATGTACAATTACATCCTCATAACTCAATGCCCAAGAGCCCTGTAAAACTATTGCAAGGCCCAGGGTTGTCACAGTATGCAAATGCACTAGGAAAATCATTACCTATTTAGTCCCCTTCATTTTGGTGGGTTTAACATGAGAGGAATAATCCATGCTACAAGACGAGATTTCATTTTACAGCTGTAGTAACCAAGTACATAAAAGCTTGAATCTGTCCCAATAGCTTCTAAAAATTTTTTCCCATAGTGTCAGAGGCAAAAATAATGAAATCTTGCAAATGTACAGTTAATAGGACCCTAGTGGACACTAACTTCAAAAATGCATGGTCTATAAGACATTACAAGGCTTGATTCCAGTTTCTGCACTGTTCCTGTTAATAACAATGTCTAATTAAAACATCTGTAAAATACTGATAGTTTTAATTTTACATAAAATTTCCAAAACAACTGTTACACAGTATAATAGGTATCTGCAATGAATAGGTTATTAATGGAAGTATTATTTTAAATTAAATTCTGGTTCTAAATTTAAATTAGTCATCTCTGGCTAATGAAGAGAAAAAGAAGTCACCCATGCTGGGAATACAGTAGAAAATTTAGTTTTCAACATCTGTTAAAGCAAATTCACTGTATCACTTGGGCTAAAGGACAATTCTCTTTGTTACTTTCTGTCTTCTCCATTTGGCACATCTGATGGATTTCACAGTTGAACTCAGTACTAGAACTACAGCCTAATGTACCTTTTAATACATTACTTTATAATTTAAAAACCACCATTCAACTTTCCTCACAGTCTGAAATCCCCCCCGCCTGTTTTCCAGTGAGGAGACAGCAGAGAACACTCTTCCCTGTGGTAGCTTCTCCCTCCCAGCCCTGCCTAACCTGATGAATATTTTTAAAGGAATGGCACAAAATCTCAGCTTTCCCTTTCTTTGGGTCTCATCTTCAGTTACAAAACAAGAGAGATTAGCAAGGCTTACTGGCTGGCCACAATTCAATACCTTTCTTTCTAATTAATGCACAACAAAAGAGGGTTAAAAAGCGATCAGCACTGACTGATGTGTGTCTACCGATGCTGGCACTGAGTTGGTCAGGGATTCATTCCAGACAATAAGAAGCTGCGTTTCAAGTTGCTTCAGACGCACACATTGCTTCACAACAGGTGCTGCAGAATGTGGTCCACAGCATGAGGGAAACTCTCACAAGTTAAGTAAGGAGGTGGATTAATTTTTTCTTCATCTGATGCTCGGTATTTCCCAGTCTTTACTAAGATGCCCAGCATGCCAACATCCTGAGCCCCACCAACATCATCCCTGCAATCATCTCCTATCATGACAGCCTCCTCAGGTTCACAGCCAGTGCCTCGCAATGCTTCCAAAAAGAACGTCTTCTCGGGTTTCTCCACGACTGTGGCTTTGGTATCTGTGGCATACTCCAAAGCAGTCACAAATGGTCCAGGCCCCAGGGCTAAGTCATCTTTCCTCTTGTAATATCTGGCTTTGTGGATTGCTATCAGAGGTGCTCCATCCAGGAGTAACCAGAATGCTTGATTCAGAATTTGATAATGAAAATGTTCTGGTGCCAATCCTATGACTACAGTATTAGGATCACTTGTTTGTATTCCTTTGAAATCAGGTAGTGCCCGATCATCAACTAGCAGCATGGGTCTGACTTGTTTCTGCTCTAGTAAACTTCTGGCTGCAGTCAGAGATGTGAATATTTCATTTTCAGAGATATCAAATTCCAATTTTCTCAACCTTTGCAACAGGTCTTGCTTGCTCTCTTTGGTCGTATTGGTCACAAACCTAACGATTACAGAAGCACCACGCAACCTTTTAAGAGCTTCCTGTGCGCCTGGCACAGCTGCATCTTCAATGTGAAGTGTGCCACTGAGATCTACCAAAACAGCTTCTAACGCATGGTGTGCTGCCATCCTTCATTCCCCACACTCCGTACGCCGTCCTCAGGAAAGGTCCCCGCGAATGGCAAAACCAGCCAGCCACGCTGGCTGCAGGTTCCTCTCAGCTGGGATAAAAAGCCCCGTAGCCGACTGTTTCTTTACATGGAGTATGGAGGCAGGAGAGAGTGTACCTTGAGAAAGGGCAGTTACTGCAATGGTGAATGGAAAATTAAAACAGCCTCATTAACAAATGTAAGTACAAAGTCCTAATCTGTAATAATTCTTTTTGTTTGTTTTTGAAACAGTCTCATTCTGTTGCTCAGGCTGGAGCTCAGTGGCACAATCACAGCTCACTTTTTTGTTTTTTTTTGCAAAGGCGGGGTCTCACTATGGTGCCTAGGCTGCTCTTAAACTCCTGGGCTCAAGTGATCCTCTTGCCTCAGTCCCTCAAAGTGCTGGGATTACAGGCATGAGCTACTGCACCCAGCTTGTGATAATGTATTTTAATGTAGTTTGAAATTTTAACTCAATGTTCTAGGGAACTATTAATAGGATTACATAACAAAGGTTCTGTGTTTAGTGTGAGAAACCGGGCCAAATAAATTTAAACAAGGTTCTTTAATGCAGGACGATTCAGAGCTCTGAAGTAATGATCACAGTGAATTTCTCAGAGCAGGGCAGGTATATGGCCTACCACAAACTTACCTGACCACAGAGTGCTCTTTTTGTGGAGCAGGACTCAAAATCTTTATTCTCTGAGAGTGTGGCCAACAATTAGAAATAAGAGCAAGAGATACATGGAGTCCCAAGAAAATGACTCAGTCTCTCAGAGTAAGCAAAGTTTTTCTGGAGTCAAGTCCAGAAAGTATCATTTATAGGGCAGAGTTTTTCAAAGTGAGATCTGAGGACCACCTGCATCAGTCTTGGGGTGCTTGGGTGCTTGCATTTAAAATGCTGATTACTGGTTTCACTCTCAGGGGAGTCGGGGGTGAGTGTGGCAGCCTATGTAGTTCAAAAATATTTGTTATCCCTCCCTGGGAGAAATTATATTCCTCTGTCTACTGTCAGATTTGGCCATCGCAGACTTAGCTGTAAATATTTCAGCATATATATCTAAAAGATAACTGTTTTAGAAAACATAACCAGGGCCAGGCGTGGCAGCTCATGCCTGTAATCCCAGCACTTTGAGAGGCCGAGGTGGGCGGATCACGAGGTCAGGAGTTCAAGACCAGCCTGGCCAACATAGTGAACCCCGTCTTTACTAAAAATACAAAAATTAGCCGGGCATGGTGGTGTGTGCCTGTAGTCCCAGCTACTCGGGAGGCTGAGGCAGGAGAATGGTGTGAACCTGGTATGTGGAGGCGGTGGTGAGCACTCCAGCCTGGGTGACAGACCGAGACTCCATTTCAAAAAACAACAAAAAAGAAAACATAACCACTCTACCACTGTCACACCTAAACAACTTTGATAAAAACTTATCAAATAAAGTTTAAATTTAGTTGTCTAATTTTTTTTTCCCCCTGATGGTTTGTTTGAATTAGAGGTTGATCCATGCAGGGTTGACATTCTCCTATTAAACTTAAAGGAATCAACTGAAAAGGTGGCTGGCCACCCCACCTCCACCTCTGTAGGCAGTTGGGCTGGTGAGTATCTGTCATTTACTTATAGGACTTAAAGTGACTAACAAGAAAAGCTAGGGTACAAGGCTGTGTAAATGAAAAGTTACATGAAGGAAACCCAAGAGTGAGGGATGCAAAGTGGAGTCTGGAATGAGGCTTGAAGAGCACACCATGACATACACACCTACTTCATGAGGCCACACGTTTAAGCTTTCCAATAGTGAAGACAGAGAAACCTGGTCAGATACACCATTCGCAGTGTCCTGAAGATTAAAGTAAATCCAGATACAGAAAGGACAATTATTCCCCATGGTGGCATGTGCCTGTAGTCCTAGGTATTTGGAGGGCTGAGGCGGGAGAATGGCTTGAGCCAGGAAGGACGAGGCAGTAGTAAGCTGTGATGGCACCACTGCCCTCCAGCCTGGGTGACAGAGTGAGACCCTATATCTAAAACAACAAAATTGTCCCGGGCACTAAGATAAAAATTTCTTTCAAGGATCTTTTTCTAAAAATGATACTTATAAAAATGACATTCTGGTAATCACATTCCGATAATAAACAATGACAGATACTCTGAGGCATGCCCGTACCCTGAACTCTGCAGGGGCAGTTGTCTGAAGCAATAAATGAGGTGAATGTATTTAGGTGTATTCTATGAGCATGGAATACATACCTTATGTTGAATATGTTCAGATCAACATTGTTAGGCTAAGTTTACACACACACCTAGATGTATGCCCCAGTTTGCCTGGCAGAGTTCCAGTTGGTGCCTCTTATCCCCAGGTCCCATCTGGCTAACACCTCCTTTTATTCTCAAAAGTGTCCCAGTTTGAACATTAAAGTATATAGTCATCCTATATAGAAAGCACCTTGCAGACCTAAGGAGGCCGTCCCCAATTCACCCAACTTCACGGAATTGTGTGTCCCTCAGGCCAAAGAGACAGAGGCTCCTCTGGTTGCTGAATCCTTTCCAGTGGATCTTTCCACAACTCTGTACCCAAATCTTTGAAGCTGCATCAGCACTTGTGCTTATGCTAATAACTGTGTGAACGTGATCATTTGTGTGCAAACCAACAAACCAGACAGGTTTACATATGTTACAACAAGTTGTGGAAGACTGCACCTTAGACTCTCGGAAAAATCCTGATACAATGCAATTTAGTAAAGCAATTCTGCAAAGGACCACCACTTTTCAGTCTGGGGGATGGCTGCCTCTCACCTAGCTTGATGGTGGCAACCAAAGGGCAGTTAGTGTTTTTCTTAGGAAGCTAACAGTTGTAGCAAGTGGATACATGGGTGGTTGTAATGGACATCTATTATTTTTGCTTCATTCATTCAATCATTCATCCTCTGGTAATCTCACCCTCAGGTTTCCCTCTGGGGAACCCTTCTGTTCCCAACTCTCAGTCCACGTGGTTCTGCTAAAGCTGACCTAACCTGACCCTGGATGTGGAACGTGGGACCAAGGCCTAAGTCAATTAGTACATTAGATTCCCTGCCTTAGTGATTGATTTAGGGATGGATACATGGCCTGTCAGGAATACTTTGCCAAGGAATTTTGGAAAGAGGTTTAATGCTTAAGAGGATGTGGTGGCTAAAACTGGCATGGCCACTTCGTTACCATGTTACACCTGAATCAGCAAAAGGTGGATCAATATGATCAGAAAGAATCCTGATGCAGCTGCATCTCAAGTCAGAACTACTCTTGGACTTTTTATTTTATTTTATTTTTTTTTTTTTTGAGACAGAGTCTCGCTCTGTGCCCAGGCTGGAGTGCAGCGGTGCGATCTCGGCTCACTGCAAGCTCCGCCTCCCAGGTTCACGCCATTCTCCTGCCTCAGCCTCCCGAGTAGCTGGGACTACAGGTGCGGCTACCACGCCCGGCTAATTTTTTTTTTTTTGTATTTTCAGTAGAGATGGGGTTTCACCGTGTTAGCCAGGATGGTCTGGATCTCCTGACCTCGTGATCCGCCCACCTCGGCCTCCCAAAGTGCTGGGATTACAGGCATGAGCCACCGCGCCCAGCCTTATTTTTATTTTTTATTTTTATTTTTTGGAGACAGAGTTTCACTCTTGTCGCCCAGGCTGGAGAGCAATGGTGTGATCTCAGCTTACTGCAACTTCTGACTCCCAGGTTCAAGCAATTCTCCTGCCTCAGCCTCCCGAGTAGCTGGGATTATAGGCGTGCACCACCATGCCTGGCTAATTTTTTTGGTATTATTAGTACAGACGGACTTTCACCATGTTGGCCAAGATGGTCTTGAACTCCTGACCTCAGGTGATCTACCCGCCTCAGCCTCCCAAAGTGCTGGGATTATAGGTGTGAGCCACTGTGCCCAGCCAGACTTTTTAGTTTATATGAGCCATTTCTGCTTAAGAGAGGTTGGGTTGGATTTTCTATCACTTATATCCATACACGTCTTAACTGATATAAAAATGAAAACCCTAAATTCTATGCCTTCCTGAACATGGTCAATACGTTTAGTCTGGAAATATTTCAAAGCAAAAAATACCCTTTATCATAGGCACAGAAAAACTTCCATATTGTAACATGATTTTGAGGAACATTATCTTTCTGGAAAGCTTATCATTTGGAAGCTGCAAAATACATCTTTATGTAACAAAATGATTACACTTTTATGGAATTGTTGGCAATGAACTAAATAAATTCTGGATGCCATCTCAAGAAATATCAGTTTTAATTTTAGGGCTGTTATTTTAGCCCATTCTTTTTGAAAATAATTAGGAAGACTAAGAATCTATTGAGACCATTCCTAATTTGTGGAAATAAAACCACAACATCAACATGTAGGTTACTACTTAAGTGTTTTCTCTAACAGAAGTCTGTGTAGGCAAAATAACCCCTTGAGGAGAGTTGGACTTTGAGAACTTTCTAAGGCAGATGAACTAATTTTCTTCTAGGAGAGTGTAGCTCTAATGATTTTAAAAGGCCCATGTGGTTGAGCAAACACTGGCCTGGGAATTAGAAAGCCCGAGTTCTAGTTTTAGTTCTGATACTAAATTAACTCATTGATTCTGACCAAGTCCTTTTAACTTTCATGTACCTCAGTTTCCTGTAAGACAAGAAATTCAGGCGAGGTGTTAAGTATGGTCTCCTCCAGCTTTAAGATTATGATCCACGAGACCAGCCTGGCCAACACGGGGAAACTCCGTCTCTACTAAAAATACAAAAATTAGCCAGGCGTGGTGGTGCGTGCCTGTAGTCCCAGCTACTCGGGAGGCTGAGGCAAGAGAATCACTTGAACCCGGGGGCGGGGAGGTTGCAGTGAGATGAGATCTCACCACAGCACGCCAGCCTAGGCAACAGAGCAAGACTCCATCTGAAAAAGAAAAAAGATTATGATCCAATAATACAGGCATGGCCGATTTACTGTATCTTCATAAACAGGAAGGTTTCATTATATGAGTAATAGATAAAATAGAGAAGTTATTTTATTTTTTATATTTTTTGAGGAGTCTCACCCTGTCACCCAGGCTGGAGCGCAGTGGCGGATCTCTGCTCATTGCAACCTCTGCCTTCCGTGTTCAAGCGATTCTCCTGCCTCATCCTCCCAAGTGGCTGGGATTACAGGTGCCTATCACCACACCTGGCTAATTTTTTTTTTGTATTTCTAGTAGAGATGGAATTTCACCATGTTGGCCAGGCTGGTCTTGAACTCTTA